CGCGGCCCAGACCCTGCAGGGGCCCCGGGCGCGGGCAGGGGGCCGCCCACCTTGATGTTGCAGGCCACCGCCTTGCCGTCCTCGCCCTTGTACATGAGCTTCATGCCGCGCAGCGCGCTCATGGCCTGGATGAAGCCGGCGTACTCGCTGTACTGCACGTAGGCCTCGAAGTTGAGGTGGCCGCCGAAGCTGAAGGTGTGGAAGTTGCGCCCCGTCATCTCCTCACGGTAGGGGTCCAGCATGGGGATGTCCACGTGGCGGATCGCCCCGAACTTCTCGAACACGCGCACCAGCACGTCCTCGCTGGGCTTCTCGGCGCCGGCCTCGCGCCGCGCGAACCACTTGCAGGGCAGCCCCTCCAGGTGGATGGTGTCCGGCCGCTCGCCCGGCAGCGTCTCGTTCATGTCCTTGGCGTCGCGGAAGAACGAGTCCCAGTCGTGCCGCGTCGGGAAGTCGATCTTGAACTCGGCGGCCCGCACCTTGAGGATGTCGGAGAAGCCGCTGAGCTTGATGGTCTTGCCGTCCAGGCGGGCCAGGCAGGCGCGGACCGTGCTGCGGTTCTCCACCTCGCCCTCGAAGCGGATGAAGTCCATGGTGCTCTTGGAGATGCGCAGCGTGGAGAACTGGTGGTGCTGCACCATGGCCTTGAGCCGCTCCATCACCTCCCAGTTGGAGATGGACTTGCCCGGCTGCTTCAGCTGCGGGAGGGCCACGCTGATGGTCATCTTGGTGATGGGCTTGAGGTAGAGGCCCAGGGCCGGGCACAGCTCCACCGCCTCCGACGTGTCGTGCACGATGGTGGCCGCGGCCATGGCCGCCCCGGGGGGCCTGGGGAGACGGACGACGTGGTTAGTTTGCTGTGTATCTGTGTGTGTTTTAATATAGATATATATTTTTTTAAAAAAAAAAAATTTCCATTGATTTCAGAGAGGAAGGGAGAGAGAGTTAGAAGCATCCATGATGAGGGAGAATCACCGTTCGGCCGCCCCCTGCTGGGGATCGAGCCCACAACCCAGGCATGTGCCCCTGCCCGGAATCCAACTGGCAACCTCCTGGTCCACAAGCCAATGTTCTATCCACTGAGCCAAACTAGCTAGGGCTCAATGGCATTTTAATATACAAATAATGATCTCTGATTTAGAAACTAATAAAAAAAAATCCCTTTTACCACTGCAACTAAAAAAATAAGGTAACAGGAATGAACTTAACCAAGGGCATAATAGACCTATACTAAGAAAACTATAGGACACTGAAAAAAGAAACAGAGGAAGATACACCCAAGTGCAACCATATTCAGTGTTCATGGATTGGTAAAATTAACATCATTAAAATGTCCATACCACCCAAATCAATCTATAGATTCAATGCACTCCCTATTAAAATGCCAAAGTTCACAGGTCAAGAGCAATCCCAAAATTTATATGGAACCAAAAAAAAAAAACCGAAAAAACAAAAAACCCAAATAACCTTCACACACATAAGAAAGAAAAACAAAGCTGGAGGGATCACAATACCGGATGTCAAGCTACACTACAAAGCCAGAGTACTGGCCTGGCACTGGCACAAGAACAGGCATAGAGATCAATGGAGCGGAACAGAAACTGACCCAAGCATTTATGCTCAATTAATAGTTGACAAAGGAGGCAAAAGTGTACAATGGAGTCAAGACAGTCTCTTCAATAAGTGGTGTTGAGAAATTTGGAAAAAAACATACAAAAAATGCAACCAG